TCACATTATAATATATTGATATTATCACTCACATTATAATGAGATTCTTTGGGATGAACATGACCTGAACATACCACATTCATCCCATGTGGAACTTGACCTGCTTGACCTGAACATGACCTGACCTGGCTAGACCCCTCACAGGATCACAATCGAACCGAATCACGGTTGCTGATCTTTGCCATGCTGATGGTCTTATTCACATTTTGCTTCCACGCAAACGACGCTTGGCGGCAAAAAACTCGTTGCTGGCTGGGTGAAGCTTTTCCACACCTTGCAAATGGATGGATCCATAAAAGGTGTTCATCATAACTTTGCATTTTTTTGGACCACCAAAAAGGCCACCAAAAACACCGTGTTTTTACGGAGGGACAGCTGGTTTTGTCATGTTTTGTCATGGGGATCTCCCCTTGCATCCAGCCGCATCCAGGAGCACAGCTGGACTCGAACGGAGGGGACGCAACGGAGCACGCTGGTCTTTATCGTCTTGTTGGCCACAGGTGCCCGTGACGACCGGCGACCCGCGGTGACATCAACGGTGACATCGTTTCGGAATAGGGAAACGATGCGAAACTCGAATCGAACTTTGAATGGAAGTCAACTGATGGGACAAATTAGGGGAAACTGCCGGAAACTCCTCTATGAATGTTTTTTTTTTTAATGGGAACACTAAGCCATAAATGATCGTTTCAATGGGATCATTGTTTTGTAAATCGGGGATTTTTCCAATTTTAGAGGTATCCAATGCCTTGACCCACTTGACCCAACACGTTTTTGTTTTCTGCGAAGTAAGTCCGCGTCAGGTCCTGCCGTGGTCATGTCGGTGCGCATTTTTGTGGCGCTGGTGAAAGAATTCAAGGAACTTTACCAGGAAAAAAATGTCTCCCAGAAGGCGGAAAGCGTGGAAACTGATGTGACTTAAGGATTCTTTTTTGGAGAGAAAAACCAAGGTTTAAACACCAAGGCTTTTCAAAGCTTTGCACATGGTGTCCACCAGAACAGATCTGTGGAAGAGCAACAAGTGAACAATTTTAAAGCTGTTTGCTGGTTTCGGAGTATTTTACCATGTGTAGAGTATTGAGAGCTGTAGTTCCACTTGATAGTTTAGGCCGCCTGGCCTGTCACGCTGAAGCATCACTGATCGATGTGCGAAAAAAGTCAATGCCGATACTGCCGATACTGCCGATACTGCCGATACCCATGTTCATGTGCGGCGTGGTCAGAGCAGCCGTTTCCCTTTGGACATGTTCACACCACCATCACTGGTAATGGCTTTGGACCAAGCCTGAATCCGTGGAAATGGCATGGAACTATCAGCACTGCATGAGGGGAATTCGGGGTTGTCAATTAGATAACTAGCAGAGTTTGTTTTGAAGTTCTAGTGTTTTAACAATTGAGCAAAAACACTTCAACTACTCAATGGATACCATCCCAAATTCATGCTTTCAAGCAGTTTGAGCAACAACAGATGACCAAAAGCTAGGATTTTCCATAAGTTTGGGAGGTTTTCCATCCACAACTTCCCTTAGCATCGCGTCATGTTGAACTGACCATGGCGTCGGCTCATCCCTGAAGGGGAGCGAGAGCGACCAAGGGCGCCATGGAAGGCGACATTCAGGTGATGAGCACCCTGAAATCCGGAAGGTGCGGTGGGAATATTCCCTATTCCCACCCCACGATTTATGTAGATGTTGGAAAGAAAATGGTGGTGATGATGATGATGATGATGATCTAATGGATTTTGTTCTTGGGGCCCATATTTTTTCCTTCAGCAATTCCGGTGATGAATCCGATATGGATTTTATGGCAATCTTTCTGCCCGGTCGCCCGTTGAGAAGCCATTCATCCAGCGTTCAGGGAGCCACCCAGTGAGCCCTTAATGCTCTTCGGTGAGGCAGGCGGCCGCGGGTTTTGCTGTTCTTTTTTCGCTGAACATCTTGGGAACACCAGAGGGAAAGGTTGAAAGATCTCCATAAAACACCAAACCACCAAAAAACCATACGCATCCATAACAAGACCCAACTTCTGTGCGAAGACTTGGTCTGAATCTTTGTTTTGTTTTGCGGTTTGTCTCAGTGCGATTTTTTTGTATTCCTGGAAGCTGAAGGGCTGAACATGTGTGGCTTCAGTGTGGTTGGTGGAAACGATCTACTCTCGCTGTGTGAGGGGGATGGTTTTTAAACTTGCATTGTTTTCCACGATATGTGTATGATATATATATATATACGCATGTATTGCAAATAAGAAGGAACCTGACTCAGCTCGACGTCTTTGAAAGTAAGCAATGGATTGCTGGAACTCTTCTCAGTTTCACACGAGCTGCCATCAAATCAACGTCACGTGTTGTCCATTGCAGGCCCCAGAGTTGAAAGATACCCTCTGGTAAACATACAAGTAATTCCATTGGAATATTCATGGGGATATAGTGAGTATATAATGGGACAATAATTACATTTAACCTCTGGTAATTTAACAAAGCTATTGAACATAGCCATAGAAATAGTTGATTTTCCCATTCAAAATGGTGGATCTTTCCATAGTTATGTAAACGTTTACCAGAGGGTAAAGTCCCCATTCTCTTTGGTGCCCTGCAAAGTTCCAGTCTTCCACCGTTGGGACTCCCGATGCTTCCTTTGTGCCGCAGGAATACTACTGTGAGGGGCTGGCGAATGATCCTGAGGCACGCCAGAAATCGATGACTTTGGCATCGAAACCTCCATGAGTTTGCGGATGTCCCGGCATTGTTTTTGATGACACTAGGGGCTAGCTGCTGATTTCCAAGTTTGGTTGGTCAGAAATATCTCCTGTATAATCTTACATATAGATGTATATGTATATATATATAATATATATATATAATATATATAATATATATAATATATATATATACATATATATATATTCCAATAAGCCATCTCTGGGACGACACTGAATTGGCCGCCAAAAAAGGTGGAAGAGTTCGCGGAATTGGCCAGTGAAGGTCTGCCCAACTGCGTCGTAGGAAGCCCAGGATGACCAGCTGCAAGGTTTCGAGAGGCAGAGGCAGCCTGACAATCCATGGATTGGTTTCAGAGAACATGCAGAAAAAACCCATCTTTCATGGGCAAAAACCAATCTTTCACGGGAAAACACACACATTTTTCATGGGAAAAACACCATGGTTTCTGCTTCAGATTTTCCCTCAACCTCCATGGTTTCGAAGGTGGCCACCCTGCTCCCATGGAGCGTCGGACATGTTCGGATGCCCTTGAGGGGCGGCGATAGCGATGCATGTGGAAGAATGAAATCACCGTGGGTAAAACTCAACGTCATAAACTACCATCCCCCAGTCATCATCATTTTTATAGGTGGTATATAATATATGAACCATTCCCAGTGGGTTGTAAAAATGACATTGTTTTACCCACAGAAAAATACTAAATCAGAGTTTCGACATTCAATCTTTGGGCCGAGGGATTCTCATCACGTGAAATCGTCAGGGCCACCAGCCATTTTCATGTCGCGACACAGAGCCGCATCCTTTCGGTGCAAGGCCCCGAAAGGAGTGCTGGCGCCGGAGTCGAACGCCCAGTTTCGGAATGAGCTCCCATTTGCCATGGATTATCCTACGGTTTATGAGCATTTATGGCCAAAGATGCGGGGCATACACCCCTTTTTTTTCCCGTTGTTTTAGATTTAGTCATTTTTCTCAAGTCTTGAATGAGACAAAACCGTCTAGTTTGCGACTCAAGGTTCAAGCTATGCTCCGATGAAGTTGGTGATAGTGCGACAAGCTGAGGCTGGAATCCAGCGATTTCCTTGTGCCTGAAGCCCACATTGCCAAGGCTCGTGCTGTTTTGCGGAGCGCGCAAAAGGTACTTGTACCTTTGTTCTGTCGAGCTTTTTTTGTTTTGTTTTGTTTTTGTTGGTTTGTTGACTTGGTTGTTTTCGTTTCTTGCTAAAAAAATCACTTCTCGCTTTTGTAAAGTTTGGCTTCCCGGAGCAGCTTTTAAGACAACCACTTGAGGCTGTCTCGGGGGCGAACACTGCCACAGACTCAACCCTGAGGGACCCTGGGAGATGCAGGTCGATGGAGACGGTGGAGCCCAAAGTTTCAAGGCTAGTCATGATTACCCTCTGGTAAACTAACATAACTATGGAAAATCACCATTTTTAATGGGTAAATCAGCTATAAATGACCATTTTCAATAGTCATGTTAAATTACCAGAGGGTAACCAAAGATTTAACTTTAAACATGTTGAACGCCTATTAGAATCCAATGGTTTATCAGAAAATGTTCCTTCTGAAAGTGGCAATTGATCCAAAACCTTACAAAAGTGTGAAACCAGCCAAAAGATCAGAAGCTATGATGTTTTTTTTTCGCCTCTGAATTTCCCATCCATCCCTTGGATAGAAAATTTTCCACATGGCCACGATGGGGAGCTCTACCTCACTGAAGGTCCTCATCCCTTGCACACTGGAGATTGAAGAGGAGCATGAACAAGCAAAAAGGCGGGAGATGGCGGTCATGGGATGTCATGGGTATCCCCCAAGAAGATAGACAAGTTGGAGACCTGTTTTTCTCCCTCCAAAACGAAATTCGCCGTAGAAATCAGTGGATTGATTGATTTGGGTTTGTTTGACAATGTTCTGAAACATCAACATCCACTGGTTATATCAGATATATAATCATTTTCCTAATTGATACCCTATTTCCAGACGAATCCAGATTTATATCAAGGCAGACTCCAAGATTTTCCAGCAAGTTAAAACCTGGAAAATCTTGGAAAGTCAGTGTTCACATGTGTTCACCAAGCTTTTCTTCGCCAGAGATCCGCTTGTTTTGGAGGATCTGACGTTTTTATCACCTCCATGGGTCAATCCGCCAGGATCATTCCCCAATTTGCACGATGTGACAACGTTGGACTCTCAGCCGTGGGCTTCTCGTGGGCATGGCATGGCATCGTTTCATGTATTGCGTGAACGCTAGAGACTCCGTTGAAAATTCTGCTGATCATATCGCACGTCCACTTCAGTTTGGATATGTTGAGCCCAAATTTACCCATCCCCCTAGAGTTTGACCCTCTGCCAAGGTTTGTATCATCGGTGTCCTGCTGCTACCAAAGTTGACGCAGCTCAATCGGGAAACCAATCAGATCGTGCTGCGGTCAGGGTCTCAGGATCGCTGTGACGAGCGAACCAGAGCGAACCACAGAAAGCTTCTGCGAATTGTAGCAGAGCAAGAGTTCCATACATGTCTATACATGTCTATACATGTCTATACATGTCTACATTTAATTTTACTGTGATATATACATATATATATTATTATGTATATATTACACACATATGTATATATATATATATTACATATATATATATATATGTACACATGCACATACATGCTGTATATCTGTGTGCAATTCTCACTTGGCAAGAACCCCTTTTTGATGTGCTTAACGTCGTTTGATGTCGTCGTCACAAACGTGTGTTTTCAACTTCCCAGCTGTTTGCAGAAAAGGCCAATAAGGCGGAGGCGTGTCACCTGAACAGCCATGGCGCAGCGAGAATTGCTGCCTTCAGATGTGCTGCCAGAGCACTACGATTTGACTCTGGAGCCTGACATTGAGAAGTTTGCCTTTGATGGGGTGGTGAAGATTACCTGTGACGTGCAGGCCTTGATTTTTTTTGGTCTGAAGACGTTTCGTTTGTGTTTTTTGCATAGTATAATACTTAATACATTCATGGATAGATTAGATATATGAGCAATTATGAAACCTGATAACGATTTAGCAATTCCTATCTTTCACAAACCCGTGAGACTCTCCCTCTCAGACTCTCTCTCTCTTCCGGCAGGGTCCAGGCTTATGTCATGTGCAGGTGTATATATAGTGGATACACCAAAAACATACATATGCACCTTGATATATATATATATATATATTAGAGATATAGATACATATACACTATATATGTACACATACTATACTATACATATATCTGTACATATTACAAATGTAGAGAGATGTAACTCATGTGAGTTCGACGTGTCGACGTATGTATAGGCTCAAGTACTTTCGTACGTGAATCTTTTGCTATAGATGGGGATATCGACGACAAAAAACAATGTCTTGGATTGCGGGGTATCAATACTAAAATGGGGCAATGTCTATATCCATGGAAATCTACGTGCGTTTAGTATTGATATATATATAATATGTATGTATGTATGTAATGTAATGTAATGTAATGCAATGTAATGTAGTGTAGTGTAGTGTAGTGTAATGTAATGTAATGTAATGTAATGTAATGTATGTATGTATGTATGTATGTTATGTTATGTATTTATGTATGTTATGTATGTGATGTATGTTATGGATGTTATTGTATGTTATGTATGTTAGTATGTTATGGAGTAAATGTTAAGTAATGTAGTGTAAGGTATGAATTGTATGTTAATGTATGTTAATGATGTATGTATGTTATGTAGGTTATGTATGTATGTATGTTAGTATGTTATGTATGTTATGTATGTTATGTAGTTATGTAGGGTATGTATGTGATGTATGTTATGTATGTTAATGTATGTATGATCGTTATGTATGGATGTAGGTTATGTATGTATGTAGTATGTATGGTATGTAGTTGTATGTTATGTATGTTATGTAGAATGTATGTAAGTAATGTAAGGTTAATGTAATGTAATGTAATGAATGTAATGTATTGATGTAGTATGTATGTTGTATGGTAGGAAATGTAATGTCTGTAGGTAGTGAGTGTAGTGTTATGTCATAATGTATGTATGGGAATGTAATGGAATGGAATGGAATGGAATGGAGTGTAATGTAATTAATGTATGTATGTATGTATGTAATTAATGTATGTATGTAATGTAATGTAATGTAATGTAATGTAATGTAATGGTATGGTATGGTATGGTATGGTATGGCATGGTATGGTATGGTATGGTATGGTATGGTATGTATATATATATACACACAGATATATATATATATATGTACAAATACCCCTCATGAACCTGTGCGTTTCTAGCCTTGCCGCTATGACTGGTCTTCCGCTTGCCAAACTTTATCAGGTGGCCACGGATAGTATCAGCGTGCACGCGCATGAGCTGGTGCTCTCTGCGGCGAGCTTTACTCCATCGCAGGGCTCCGTGTGCCAATCCGATTCCATCGCCCTGAGGACCAAAACGGATATATATATATATACATACATATACATATATATATATATATTCCATTTAGCCTTTCCCTGAGGACCAAAGCCAAAACGGCCGTCATTGGCTTCGAGGAAGTTCTCCCTGTGGGCAAAGGTGGGATACGTCCGACAGATTCAACGGAAGTATGGAAAGATCCACCATTTTTGATGGGTAAATCCACTATAAATGGCCATTTTCCATAGCTATGTTAGTTTACCAGAGGGTACATGATGGAGTTGCCTCACTTTTTTTCCGATCCCAATGGAGTTGCCTTTATGAATTGTCCGGGTTTGTTAATCTTTTCAAGGCGCGTTTCAGCGCAACACCCAGGTGTGCTGGAAATCAAATTCCGTGGCACCTTGAACGAAGCTTGGGCATCAAATCCAAACGAGATGCGTGGGATACATACTACAGGATGGTGCCCCTCAGTTCTAAGTTGGTTTATAAGCCCCATTAATTATAGTTATATCTACAATAAACCATAGAATTCAGTCACTTATAAGGCAACTGAACGCTAAGTCTGGGGCTCCATCCTGTAACAACATTCTGAATATCTCAGAAGCCAGTGAGTTGCAGAAATCCATGCCAGACCCCTAGAATTTGGTCTTGGCTTGGTCTCCTTTGCTTGAGAAGTACACATCACAGCTTCATGTGTGTATATACATAATATATAGATATGATATACATAATATAAATGTATATAAATGTATACATATATATAATATATATATAATATATATATATATATAATATATATATATGATATATATATATATACATACGTGTATATATATACATGTATATATATATGTATATATCTGTGTATATATATATATACATATACATATACATATAAGTTTATATATATACATATATATATACATACATATATATATACATTATATATATACATATACAAATATGTATATATACATATACAAATATGTATATATACATATACAAATATGTATCTATATATACATATACAAATATGTATATATATATATGTATGTATACATACATATACATATACATATACATAAATACATAAACAGCAAAAACCACATACATACACATGCATGTATGACATCCAAACAGTTTTTGAGTTGTTGTTGTATCTCCCTTTCGCAGAAATACACATGCACATCAGTGCTTTCTTTTGTTGGCCCAAGGCTGAACACCCTATTTTTTCCACATTATTTATGGTCACTTGCTCCCATTTGTTGTGGCCATAAATTGGAGGGACATTTAACCGCGGACCAGATATATCCCATGAAATCCTAAAAAGATTCTCCACAACATTGAAATCCACTAATCAGCCGTTCGTCTCCATCAATGGATTGGTTTAAGGGGAAATCTTGAAAAACATCTCTGAAACCCAAATCCATTGACCACATCCTCTAAATTTGGTTGTTCCAAAAATCGAGACTCAAACACCTCCAAAACCACTGAAGTTGTTTTGCCCATCCCAAAAATCTGCTGGTTTTTCCATCCAACCCAGGACCAGATGTCTGGATTTTACCGTTCGCAGTACACCGATTCCAAAGGCGTGAAGCGTTTCATGGCCACCACCCAGTTCGAAGCCATTGATGCGCGAAAATGCTTCCCTTGTTGGGATGAACCGGCCAGGAAAGCCACCTTTGTAGCATGGCAGCAGGGAAGATTTTTGCGGAACCCCCCAGATTTCATGAGAAAATCGATGGTTTCCGTTAGATTTTCCCCTACAAAGCAATCCATTGAACCAAGGATTACCAAGGATTTTCTGATTTTCGATTTTATGTTTTTTGTTTTCAGTTTCTTGGTGGTTGGGGATTTTCTATGGATATGATGATCATGATGTCCTATTTTCAGGGTTTCTCCACCGTATTGTAAGAGATCCACAAGGGACAAGGGGGGGAATAGTAAGTTTACCTCTTTATCCAGTCAATTCCCTTCTTGTATTTGAGGTGTTGGGAGCAACCCTGTCTATGGATATTCACATTAAACCAATGGTATCGCACTTGCGATCGCAAAGCGATTTGAAGGGATACTTCACCAGTCTATTACTATTATTTTTTTACTGTAATGGGATTTCACCTGGAAAAATGGGTGTTGTTTTGGGATTGGACCATCAAAACTAGTTTTTTTTAAAATGTGAATGGGATGTTGTAACCCTTCGGTTGCAGGAAATCTTGGAACTCGGGGATTGAACTGGTTAAGTTCTCATCGTTTTTCCATAGGGGGAAATTTTCAACCGGCATGCCATGATGATTTTTGGAAGGTTTCCCAGTGGATCCAGCGCCGCGGATGCAAGGTAGTGACGATGATTTATCCCAGCAACCTCACAGCTATCTCCAACATGCCGCCTGACTATGCCTGACTTTGACAGTTGGAGACTCCAAGCCACAACGGAAGGAACTGGAAGGAACTGGAAGGAACTGGAAGGAACTTTTGAATGGGAAAAGATCAATGGGGCCCAGGGGCGGGGCCCAGACCCGACCAAGCCCGAGGCCGCCCAGCAGCCAAGAAACTCGCGCGGATGGCAAGAAGAAGGAGACTCGGGACTTGACATGTGACATGTGCAATGAAGAAATTGGCAAGTACTGCAGGTAAACTTCTCACAAGTTACGAATCACCATGAAAAAACAGTTTTTTTTTGCAAAATCCATCAGATGGCACTTAGTTCCAGGCAGTCCGCCAGGAGATTTTTATGGTCACCCCCAAGATGAGCACCTACCTGTTGGCCTTTTGCGTGGGCGAATTCGAATTCGTGAGTACTCAAACGAAGAGTGGTGTTCTCGCTCGCATCTTTGCATGTCCAGGCGCCGTTGGGGCGTTTCATGGTGTTTCATGCTGAGTTCAGTGAGGGATTTGATCATGGTTGGTGGACTCTGACATCCATGAATCGGGAACCCCCATGTTAACCTACCTCGGAAAGTCTGGGGATTTTTTGATCAGTTGAACCATGACTTCCGTTGAACCATGCGTGTCAAGTTACAAGCATTCAAAAGTCATTGCCTGCATGGAATCAAAAGCGAAATACAGGAATGAAAACCCCCAACATCTCCAGCACTCTGACCAATCAATGCTTAAAATCACCAGTTCGATTAGGAAACACATCTTCAAATGCTGGTAAATACATCAGCAAGTCTATAATTGCCAGCCGGAGGGCAAGAAGGAGGGAGGCAAGGAAGGAATGAGGGACGTAAGCAGGGAAAGGAAGGAAAAAAGCAGGAACAGATAAGAAAGGAAGGATATCAAAAAGAACACTTCACTTTGAAAAGAACAGAAACGGTTCAGCACATTTTGAAAGAATGTATATGTATATATGTATATATGTATATATGTATATATGTATATATGTATATATGTATATATGTATATATGTATATATGTATATATGTATATATGTATATATGTATATATGTATATATGTATATATGTATAAATGTAGATATGTACATATGTACATATGTACATATGTATATATGTATATATATATATGTATATATATATGTATATATATGTATATATGTGTGAATGACACAGCTGGTAGCGGAGGAATTCACCAAAACTGAATAAGCTGACCCTGTCAGTTGCAAATGAATCCAAATAGAAATGGCCCTGCCAAATGAATGAAAATGGTGGATGCCCTGCACCACCCAAACACGCAGCTGCCCCTTTTGGCACTCAAGACTCCATGGCCGTCCGACGACCGATGATCCACAGCCCTACCCTCCTCAAGTTGCCTGAACCGTAAATGGTATCCGGCATTGCAAATGGTCAAGTCACCACATGCTGACAGGAGTTGGGAACATCACATCAAGGTATAGTTGTAGATGAAATCACACTCCCAAAACTTTATTTTTGATGTGATTCCTTCAACCATTGTAGCGCTTGTTTCCTGTGTGCATTTGTTTGAAGACTAGCTGCCTCATCAAACAGTTGAAAGGCCCCTTGTTCTAGTACCGCACGAAGAAGCGATGAGTCCATGTTCTTAGTCAAAGGATCGGCCAGTTGCAGTGAAGTTGGTATCCACCTGAAGAAACAATGTTCCATACACCTTTCCTTGATAAGAAGGACTTCCAGCGTTGTGCGATATTCTTCGCACGATGGCATCGCTCTGCGGCTCACAAGATCATACAGGGATTTGCAGTCCGTTACGACCACGGCAGCATGCATTTGACGAAATGCCTCCGGTGGACTTCTCCACTGGAATTCAGGAATGGTCAGTGTACCCCAAAGCAAGCGGCACCATCCCATCTTATCTACGCTACGTGACATGGAAAAAGCTTCAGCTGACAGTGTTGATCTGACAACTCTGGAGATTTTCTTGGATGACCAGGACAGTGGACTAATGGGGGCCCTCTTATTATCTTGAAGATCTGGTGTAGTGGCAAACACTAATGTTCCTTGAAAGGATGCTAACTGTTTCGGACTGGCAAAAGACGCATCTCCGAACACAACATGTGTGAGTTTCTGAGGAGAAATGGATCGAAAACATAATCCCACGTCACATGTTTGCTGGGCCTCACGCAGAACTTTGTTGGCCTCCATCAGGGTCGAGACAGTCGGTTTCGACAACTGAACTTGGATTTCCCCAAGCTTTGCAGCCACATCTGGTCTGGTGTTCGTGGTGGCGTACTGCAAACTGCCAATGAGGCCTCTCAAGTTGGACATCTCTTTTTCGGAAATAGGTTCCTGTACCAGGTGTCTTCGATGTTTACCAATCTCTAGATAAGGGATCGCTTTGATGTATTCTGCTTGATTTGCTCTGATACTGAAGTCTGGCAATTGCTCAAGTTGGATTCCTGTAAACACGAATTTTCTTTGCTTATATGACCCGAAAGGTAATTTTTGACGAAGCAATTCTAAACGTGAATGAAACCAGGAATCTCCACCGCAAATGCCGTCATCCACATGAGTACCTAGAGCCCCATGCAAAATTCTTTGTCCATTCTTCCATGACTCCAGATAGTACACGCAAGGTTCAAGTGGATGCATTTTGAAGCCCAAGGTTTGCAGTTGACTGGATAGCTCTTTGTAAAATAGAAGAGGTGCATCTACTCTACCGTACGCATTTCCAATCAGAGCACAGACCTGATCATCAGGTAATTGCATGCGTTCTCGTAATTCTTTTGGGGGTTCCATTGCTAATGGGTTTTCACTATCAGCTTTTCCACGTAAGAAAGCTGTCTTGATGTCGAAGGATGAAAGAACCCATTGTTGCGATGCAATTGGCTGAAGAATGGTATGCCTGCCCTCCCTGGTTAAGGTTGGTGCATCACGATTGACCTCAGTCAGCCTGGGATCCTGATAACCTAGAACTACCAATCTGGCTTTGGCTTTTCTGGCATTGGTCTGTTCATCATCATTACATACATTTTTCCATGTCAGGACCCATCTTGACTTGAGAATTTGATCCGGATTCAAATGCTTTCGAAGTATCGGTTTCAAGGCACTTGTTTGAAGCCAACATGATAACTCAGCTTCCTTGGCAGTGTCGAAAAGCCGTCTTTCGGCTGCGGTCAGATCTTTGATCTGGACTTCGGCTCGGGCCCTTTTTCCGGCAGACGCTACCTGAGCAAGTTCTTCCGGATGGGAAGACTGAGACCACTGTAATAAATCCTGGCGAGACATTGGAACTTCTAGCATGAAACACTGGTGGTCATGATGACACATAGGCTCATCTAAAAGGGGCAAACCATCTTCGGCCAGGCAAATATCGGAGGACTCAGTGCCCGATTGAAACACATTCCATTCGTGAATCGGATCCTCTTGTAGGAAGTCACTGATCTCATAGCACGACAGAACATTCTCTGTCTCGGCTGCATCAACTGGCTCTTCTGTGGGGGTATCTAAATCTATGGCATTTTCTGATTCAAAGTTGGGGAAGTTATCAAAGGGAGGATTATCAGTTATGCTTTGATTGGGACTTATGACGGGTGTGGTTACGTTGGACGTTATGGGCTCTGGAAACAGTTCACTTTCTGGTTGGATACTGGTTTGACTGCTGATGGGAACTTCAGGAACATCTATTGGAGTACCAGGCGTGTACGTCTCATCTTGATTTGAACCTTCATGGATGCTAGGCCTAAATTCCAGGGTACCTTTTGGTCCATCCTGGGAATTCTGGAGACTCTGGACACGGTGGTTTAGAGATTCGGATGCATTTTGCCATTCTCTCAGTGATGCAGGACGCAAGCTCTCGGGTGAACAGCGCAGCAAACGGTCACCATGCGCAACCCAGATTGTGGTGGAACCATCTTGACATACCACCCTTGCAGGCCCATGCCAGCGTCCAGTTTCTCGTCGCCCAGTTGTATTTCTCTTTTTCCAATAGAGTACTAATTGACCTATCTCATAGGTTCCGGGATGCGGTTGTGACTTGCGGAGTAAAGCTCTGCGGATCGCCGAGTCATTGTCGGCAAGCACAAACATGCGTCTTGCTCTGGAACGGATGTCAAGGTTTCTCCGAAAAACTTCGCTTTCAAGGTCAGATCCATCAGCTAGGCTATGGGCTGAGGCATGTTCATCAGATGTTAGGGAAGCAGGCACCTTAGTGGCTTTTCCCAACACAATTTGCTCTGGTGAAAAACCTTGATGACGAGCGAGTGCATTCTTGGCTTGGAAACAGGACTGAAGGACTTGGTCAAGTTCTTGAACGTCTTCAATTTTCTTTTCTTGATCAAAACGATCCAACATGTTCTTGATGATTTGACCATGTCTTTCAATGCGTCCCTTCTGCCATGCTTCGGTGGACAAACGTGGCTCTATGTTCTGTTGTTGCAAGAAATCAAGCCAATGTCCAGCACGGAACTCCCCGGCGGGGTCAGAGTAAATACCGGTCGGTTGTCCGGCCCAAGACATCCACATTTCCTTGAAGACGGGCACCACGTGTTCAAGATGACGATTCTGCAACCTACGTCCTAGGTGGAATAAGGATGCTTCATCAATACAGTGGAATACCATGACTTGAAATCCACCCCGGCCTGTCCAAAAAAAACCATCAATACCCAACAACTCGTTAAATTCTTTTGGATCATGAAGCTAGGCTGGTCTCTGATGACGGAATTTTGAAGTCTCCACACATGCATCGCAAATGTACTCCTTGGCGGCTTCAATCACATGTTCATGGGCTCCGGCTTCTTTGAGGTGATGTGCTAGTCTTATGGGATCTGGGTGACCCAAATTCTTGTGCAATTTCACTAGGTCTTGTTTTTCCTGGGCATTCAGCAACCTGAACTTTGGCCCGTGAAGTGGTACCGGAGGTGGTGCCCAACCTTCACATGGAACATTGCTAGTACGCTCGTGAACTGCAGCTGGCAACCCTTGATTGCCGGACACTCGAATTGCTGTGGGCGGTTCTGAGGGAGCCATCGTCTTCTCAGCATCATCGGCTACTTCTTTTGCGGGTGCAGATTCAATCTCAGGAGAGCATCCAAACATGGTTATGATAAGCTTGCATGGGATACACTTTCGGATGCGTTGAGCTCTGGTGCTCTCATGCCAGTTTTCTAAACCAAGGTCATGAATGGCTGATGTCTCACGATGCAAACATACTGTATACCGCAAAGGAAACTGATGGGACGCTGGGGCTTGAAGTGGCACCTGAAAACGTTCCGTACCCCTGCACACAAACATGTCTGTGATCTTCATGGTGGTTTCCAAAATGGTCTGGGCGTGACTCCATGCTGTTGAATCTGCAGGACATCGGGTGTTGCCTACGCGTGGTGCGAAGGTCTTAGCCTCCTCAAACACAGCTTGCCAACGTTCGGACGATGAACATGCTGGTGGAGGAACTTCTGGCCTAGGAACATTG